TAAACTAAAAAAATAAGTGTTAATATAAAAAGAGTGAGAATAATCATAAAATTAGTATTATTTCACGTAAAATAGTTAGAAGCATCATAACACCTTTAAGATAAAAGTTATAAAACTTCTAAATAGAATAAAAGATAAGAATAAGTGTAAAAAGATATTATTAGAACATAAATAATTAAGTTGACAATAAGAAAGAACTATTATTATAAATAAAAAATAATTTTAAATAAAACGTTAAGAGTTAACGGTGAGAATAATCGTAAAATTGATATTATTTAATGTAAAATAGTTAGAAGTATTGTTACACCTTAAAAAAAAAATTGTAATAATTCTAAACATAATGAAATATAATAATAAATGAAAAAGATATTATTGAAATGTAATAAATTGGTAACGTAAAAAAATTAGTATTATAAATAAAAAAATAATTCAATAAAAAATAAGTATTAACGTAAAAAGGTGAGAATAATCGTAAAATTGGTATCATTTGACGTAAAATATATTAAAAATATCGTAATACTTTAAGAAAGACTTGTGATAATTTTAAACATAATAAAATATAAAAATAAGCGTAAAAAATTTTATTGTAACATAAATATAAGTTGACAATATAAAAAAATTATTAATATAAATAAATAATAATTACAAACAAAAAAATACGTGTTAACGTAAAAATATGAGAATAATTGAAAATTTGAAATTATTTGGTGTAAAATATTTTACAATGTTGTAATGTAAAATGATAAGAATAGTTGTAAAATTGGTGTTATTTAGCATAAATTGGATTAGAAGTATTGTAACACTTTAATAAAAAGTTATGATAATTTTAAATGTAATAAAAAATAGGAATAAGTATAAAAAAAAATATTGTAATATAAATAATATTTTTGGCAACATAAAAGAATTATTATTGTAAATAAATAATAATTATAAACTGAAAAATAAGTGTTAATATAAAAAAAAAGTGAGAGTAATCGTAAAATTGATATCATTTGGCGTAAAATAGTTAGAAAGATTGTAACACTTTGAAGAAAAAGTTATGATAATCTTAAACATAATGAAAGATAATAACAAATGTAAATATATATATTATTATAACTTAAATAATTAAGTTGGTGATGTAAAAAAAGTTATTATTACAAATAAAAAATAATTTTAAACAAAAAATTAAAATAAACATAAAACGGTGAGAATAATTGTAAAATTGGTATTATTTTACGTAAAATAGTTTGAAGTAATGTTACACCTTAATAAAAAAAATTGTAATAATGTAATGAAAAGTTACGATAAACATAAAAAAAAAATTATTGAAACGTAATAAATTTGTAATGTATAAAAATTAATACTATAAATAAAAATAATTTTAAATAAAAAAAATAAGTGTGAAAATAAAAAGATTAAAATAATTGTAAAATTAGTATAATTTGGTGTAAAATATGTTTGAAGTGTGGTAATACTTAAAAAAAGGTTGTAATAATTTTAAATATAATAAAATATAAAAACAAGCGTAATTAACATAAATAATTAAATTAAAAACATAAAAAATTATTATAAATAAAAATAGTTTTAAATCTAAAAATGAATGTTAACGTAAAATGATAAGAATAATCATAAAATTGGTATAATTTAACGTAAAGTGTGTTAAAAGTATCGTAACATAAAAAGATGAAAATAGTCGTAAATTTAGTATTATTTGGTGTAAAATAGGGTAGAATTATCATAATATCTCAAGAAAGAATTGTGATAATTCTAAACGTAATAAAATATAAGAATAAACGTAAAAATATTGTTTTAACGTAAATAATTAAATTGACAATATAAAAAAATTATTATTATTATTATTATTATTAATTATATTATTCTTACAATTTATCATGATGTATCATGAAATATAATGATATCTCATGACATTAAAATAAAGTCGATATATTGTATCCTTACTGTAGACAAACCCCCACAATGCAAGAGTGGGTTTATCACACAAAATCTTAATATTTAAAATGTCTTTTCAGATTGATTAATTATATCAATTGCTCAAGAAATTCTCATGTTTTATATACCGTTGGATTGTTGTAAGTTACAGCATGGAGCAATTGCTTCATTGTCTGTAAATAACTTTTTCAGGAATTACTATCAATTAGTTTGCAATTAATCTTTAGGCTGTTTGTTTTTTTTTTTTTTTCCTTCTTTTCTAAAATATTCATTGGGTTGCAATAATGTTCTATGGTTGTTTTGGAACTGTTTCCTTTGCTTCTTGATCTATATCTCAGCACTTGTTCACCTTACTCTCTTTTGTTATTGTTATGGTATATACTTTCAATTTGATGTATAGCTTACTAGTTTTCGCTGTGAACAGCATCCTAGATATGTGGAACCGCTGAACTTAACTGCTATGGCTTGCCCAGCTTTCCCACTTTGCCCACTGGCAATAACTGAAGCTGAACGTGGCATACCTGACATCCTCAAGCGGGTTCGAGCGGTCTTTGAGAAGGTATATTTTCTAAATAATACAATTTTGTTAAGTGTAAATTACCCCTTATTTACTGACAAAAGGACTGGCCCAACAACTAAGTTAGCATCACATTCAACTGAAATTGTCAACTCCTTTGGAAGCTGAAATTTAACTTAATTCATTTTGAGGATGTTTCTCCATGATTTTTTTTTTAAAGATGTACTGTGCACGTCTTTCATTTTATTTTCAAATTTCCAGATGCATTTATGTGTGAGAATTCTCATATCTAGTCAGTTGTGCAATTCTCCTTCATATCTATTATATAAATTCATTTTAAACCAGGTTTGGAACTCTAATAAACATGTAGGTGCTTGCCTAACTTCAGGTTGGTCTCAAGTACAATGAATCTGTGGTGATAAGGATAACTGGCTGCCCTAATGGTTGTGCTAGACCATACATGGCTGAGCTTGGGCTGGTTGGTGATGGTCCCAACAGCTATCAGGTAGTTCAATTATTTGATTTGATGCCTTTAAATCTTAAGGAAGTATTAGGATAACATGGTAATTTTGTTTTTGTTGTTAAAATTAGATTTGGCTTGGAGGAACACCTAATCAAACACAATTAGCAAGAAGTTTTATGAATAAAGTCAAAGTCCAGGATCTTGAAAAAATTTTTGAACCTTTGTTCTACTGCTGGAAACAAAAAAGACAACCCAAAGAATCATTTGGCCACTTCACAACCCGCATGGTAAGTACTTGAACTACTAGCATTTTTTCATTCTTATTCTCGTTGGGCCTAGTGGAGAAATAATCTAGTCCTATTCAATTATTCTCTGCATTCTTTGAAAAATTCTTTTATGATCGAATGAACTCATGGCCTTGCAACTGATAAAGATGTTGATTTCTCTCAGGGATTTGAAAAACTTCAAGAGCTGGTGGACAAATGGGAAGGTCCTGTGCAAACACCAGGAAGGCATAACCTAAAACCATTTGTTGATAAAGAGACATATGAGGCCATGGATGAGCTTGCAAAGCTGCAGAACAAGAATGCTCATCAGCTGGCAATAGAAGTCATCCGCAATTTTGTTGCTGCCCAGCAAAATGGGAAAAGCGAACGAGTCATTTGAGAAATTGCTGCTGCTGCTGCTGCATCCACCGACAGAATTGTTGGTGTCTCCTTTGGACTTGTTTCTATTAGGTAACATCCGGAACCAATGAAATTTGGGTTTTTGGAATCATTTTATATTCAAGTTTTGTTATAGTTTTAGCTTATATTGGATCTAGCTGCATAAGCTTTCTGGCAACTTATATCATTTGCTTGTGGAGAATAGAGATATATTTTCTAAACCACTAGTAATTTCTCGTGTACCAGAAAACTTTAAAGTGGCAAGTTTGATAGAACTTGATAGAACATAAAGAACTTGATAGAACATCATAGAATGAATACAGGCTATATGACTCAGAACTCCCACATTTCCAAATTCCAAATCCTTCATTTTGGAATTATTAATTTTAACCCACTAGGGTAGTTGAGCTTCAAGCTGATGCTAGAGATTAACATCATGAGTATTTGGTAAATGTAGAAGGAGAAGAAGAGGAATATAACAAGTATTCTCCAATAAAAAGATACGAATTCCCATTCAACTTTTACATGAATCTCACGTTAAAATCAACATTAAATTTAGAGAACATCAGAGTCTCACTTGAGGCAGATGCTAGCTGCAGGCATTGTCACACAAACAGGAGCATACTCTTTTTTAGCTTCGGGGTCCCAGCCTTTGGCTCTTCAACCGTGGCATTGTTTGCAACATAGCAAGCAGCAGCTGCAAAAATCAACTCCCTCCTTCCATTGCTGCTCTCCTGCTTCAGCTCCCAGCTGGCCTTCTCTCCTTCATTGGCTCTTGCAGCCTTGGCCACAATCTGCCCTCTGCGGGCAGTCGTGGAAGGAAGTTTAGTCAAAGTTGAGCTTGAGCCAGGCAGGTGAAAGGCTGTCATGCTGGTTGAAGCCATGTCTGTCTAGTCGGGAGGGTGGGGGGGAGGGGCACTGCTATTTTCTGCAAGTTCTGTTTCTTTACTGATTCAGGAGATGGAATTGATTATTATTATTATTAGTTAGTCATGGAAATAGCATGAGAAATGCGTGTCAGTAATCCATCATCCATTTCCCTACCCACAGAAATGCTGGGGCAAATGGGTCATTGCGGCGTGTGGGTTAATCTAGGCCTAAGGTATGGACGTGAAAAAAAATGAATATACCCAACATCAGTTATAAATTTCAAAATATTAATAATGTAAAACTTCAATAAAACTAAAAGTGCCAAAGAAAATAGACGGTGGTAAAGCAGCTAAAAACCTTTTACCCAAGGTACAGCCTGCTAAATCTGTCCTGGATGTCAATTTCATTTTACTCTGTTAGGTCAAAATTTCCTTGGGGATCTAATAAACTGAATGTTAAGTCATGAACATCTCTACCCGAAAAACGAACTATCGCCGATGAATACCAGCCCCATAAGCAACTATGCTTTAAGGCACAAGCAGCACTAGGAAAAGAAGACAACTCATATGACCATTAGCTTATATAGTATCTGGATTGAGCAAAACAAAACTTAAGTTGGTGAACAAGTGCTAAATTTCTGATGACAAAAAGCAAAAAACGTAAACATAGAAATTGTCTTAAAACGAGTGAAAAGAACTTCGTATTACTACCCTAGGCACTAAAGCCGCTGTCTTAAATAATAGCTCATCACCATCAAACATCCACCCTCTCTGCATCTTCAAGTACAAGTGTCTTCACTGGCTTTCCCAACAGATCAGTATACTCCTGGAAGGGAGACTTTGTGAAACGAGTCTCCCTCCAGAAATCAGGAGTCAAGAAACCGTATGTTTTCAAAAGACACTCGAAGGTAGCCTGCAATTTACATTTCCAAGAGCAACACATAATCAGAGATCAGAAATAACTCAATAAAGCATCTCTAATACAAATCATACAGCAAATATACAGCTATCTAGCAGCAAAGTACACTGATTTTCCATTCAGTAAGAACAAATAATTTCAGGAACTGGGTAATAATTACAAACATATAGCCAAGCAAGTCCACACTTCCACTAGCAACAAAAAATTGACTTGAAATAATCAGTTGGGAAAAACATGCATTCAACCTCAATTACAGAGGTGGTGTCACCCATGAGTACAAAATCTACAGCAATATATGTTAGGGAATTTGTCCTCAAAAATGTCACACAGTTTTAACTAAGCCAAGCATCTATGCCCACACTCCCCATAGACATATCATCAAACCTTTAAACACAAAATAATACCATCAGTGGAAACCATACCCATAAAGAATTAAAAAATTCAAGTCATACAATATCCCAAATTCACAACCGTACATCAATTACCAATTTATGTCATACAAAAGATGCCTTCAACAATTCCATTACAATCACAGGCAGGTATGACATAGTGAAAACATAATAGTAAAGGATGAAATATGCTTCTATTAAACCAGTATCCCGTAACACGGGGAAGGACACCAAAAAATACCCAACTTTCCAGAAATTTAAAAAATGTAACAGTAACCAACTATTCAAAAGCACAACAATAAAAAATTTCTATCCAAGTAATCCAGCACCATACATCTTACAAGAAGACAATAACCTACGTACCAAGTCTAATGCAAATAAATCAAGAATACCATAGCTCATCAAAAAGAAAGCAAAAAGAATCCTGATACTTGCCTACTTGGACAAACAGTCAACTATCAACATAGAAGAATCAGAAATGTAAAAAATTTGCCAACGCTATTAACAACCTATTTCCACATAGATCAAAACAAATAAAAAATCAATCTTAAATAACAACAAAAACCAAAAAAGTAAAAAGAATAATATTAAAAAAAGCGAATACCTTGACAAAGTTACCAAGAGTCTTAGTAGAACCCCTGGAAGAAGTAAAAACATCCTCAATCCCAGCAAACTGAAGCACCTTCTTTGGCACCCTAGCAGCCACAATCCCCGCACCTCTCGGAGCCGGCACCATCCTGACAGTAACAGAGCCACATTTCCCAGTAACTTTGCACGGCACTGTATGAGGTTTTCCAATCTTATTCCCCCAATACCCTCTCCTCACCGGTATCACCGACAATTTCGCCAATATTATCGCCCCTCTTATAGCCGTCGCAACTTCTTTGCTACATTTCACCCCCAATCCGACGTGTCCATTTCCATCGCCAACGACGACGAAGGCCTTGAAACGGGTGCGCTGGCCGGCACGTGTTTGTTTCTGGACGGGAGTGATCTTCATGACCTCGTCTTTCAAGGAAGGGCCAACGAGTTGGTCGACGATTTGGTACTCTTTGATGGGGAGAGAGTGGAGGTAGATTTGCTCCAGGGATGTTATTTTTCCGGATTTCACCAAACGCCCAAGCTTTGTTACGGGTACCCATTTCTCTTCTTCATCTTTGCGGCCACGGCGCCTGCCTCTTGGCCCACGGTCCGATCTGCCACCGCCTCCTCCGAAGCCACGCCTGAAAGCGCCACGTTCTCCGCCTCTTTCTGCCATTTTGCTTTTGGTTTATTTTCTTTCTTTGGCGTGTGTTTACAAGATAATTAGGGGTTTTCTATGAGAGCGGCGAGGGCAAGAGGAATAGGTAAGAGTTTTAGGTTTACTTGGGATTTGTTTTTTTTAATTAAGAAAAGTCCTGGTGCCCAATTAGGCTTCTAAACGGGCAAGAATTTATATAAAATTTTTTAATTAAGTTTGTGTGTGCATGAGCATGTTTTTTTTATTAAAAATAGTTTAATAGAAATTTTAATAAAAAAATTTAAGCAGATAAATTTAGAATTCAATGAAAAAATTAATAATATAAAAATAATTATTGAAAATACAGTTCATAATTAAATTTTATCTGTGCTTATTTAATAATACTAAAAATATTTATTTAAAAAATTTATTAAAATTTTTTAAAAATTTGCAGATCTATATACTAAAATTTTTAATCAAAATCTTTATTTAATTAATTTTAATAAAAAATCTTATAAACTTATATGAAAAACTTCAAATAAATCTTTTTCTTCCAAATGAGCTTTTAATTTCAATCCATTTCCTCCAATTTTATGCTTATTAGATCACAGAGGCCATTTGCATTGGATCCCAAATTAGCTTCACACAATTTTAAATATGATAAGTTTTCTATTATTGTTGTCTAAAAGATGCGTATTCTTGGATTGGTTGAATTTTATGAATCACTGGGAAAAAACTAAGCAAAAGAAAAAAAAAAAAAACGAAAATTGGATTAAGCTGTCTATCAAACCCTCGGATTAGAAATATAATTGATATATTGATATTTATAAATTATTCGAATTTGATTCGAATAAAATTTGAATTCAGTTCGGTTATTATTGAGTCGAGCTCAAACTAAAATAGTTTGACTTATCAATCGAATCGAATTCAAGTATTTTTATATATGGTTTAAGTAATTCGTGAGCCTAATTAAATTTTTATATTTTAATATATTTTAATTATTTTAATTAATTAAATATCTTGAAATCGAGTTTAAGTTTGAGTATATAGTCAAGTTTTTATCAAATATAAGAATTAAGTTTATTTTTACGTGTTAATCGAGTTTAATCGAGTGCGCTCAAGTAGTTCGATTTCTATTTCGAGTCGAACTTTAATTAAAAAAATATAATTCGATTGAGTTCGAGCCAAGTTTCGAGTTTTGAATTTTGAGTCAAGCTTGAGCTTAAATTTAATACTGTATCGACTCGAATTCAATCGATTACACCTCTATCTCAGATTAGACTTTAGAAGAAATTTTAAGGCTGTATGGCTCGACTCTATCTAATTTATTATTTTATTAATAAAAATCTTATTTTTGTTTAAATTTAATTTTAAAAATATTACAATATTAATGTAAATTTATATTTTATTTTAATATTTAATTATAAACAAAATTTTAAAATTATCAATGCATTCATTTTTAATTAATGCAAAATTATTATTATTTTTAATTTTAAAATTAATATTTTAAAATAACTATCTTTATTTTATTATTAATATAATTAATTTTTAAAATAATTATTATTTATTTTATTATTTATCAAATATTATTATTCAATTTTTGAATTAACAACACTGTTGTAATCCAAATCTAAAGACATTTGATTCATAGTTTTTTTTTTTTAAAAGATAACGCTTCATCTTTCATTGAGTTCTATTTGATTTATAATTTTTTTCACTTTCTTATGCATCCTAATAAATAAAATAAAAACTTATTATTAATCTATAAGAATAAAATAAAATAATTTAAAACAAAATTATTTTAAATAAGTTGCAATAAATAAAAATATTTATTAATTTTTATTTCATAAATTTATAATAAAACCCAAAATAGTGTAATTAAAAAAAAATCAAAATTTGGATATGTACCTTCATTTCACGGTAAAGGAAGTGACTCGGTGACTATATCCATTAATGATCCAACTATATAAAAACCAATTTTTTAACGCATCCGAAGAAATGACCTATGAATTTGATATTTTTTTGTGTCCTTCCAATATCCCATCACTAACTCCACGATTAGGTTGTGTTCCATTTTTTTTACTTCTCAAAATGAAAAAGTATCATTCTTTTTCTCCATATTACTTATATGATCAAATTAAATTTCACATCAATTAATACAAAATCATAAAGAAAATTTATTTATGTTTAATTATAAAATAGATTTATTTAATAAGAAATATAGAAAACTTTAAACTCTATCATTAAAATATATAGTTAAAAAAACTTATTTCACACTAATACCTGCAAATTTCTCAAGATCGTGCCAATACAAGTTAACTTTCATAATCTTATTCTGAGGCAAAAATTGTGACAGTATAAGTTAACTTTTATAATCTTGTTCGGAGGTAACAGTTCATTCGTGACTTTGTTTAAGTAATGAAGAACAAGCTGTTACAATTTAGATATCAAGATAAGTCAAAATACTTATTATCAATGTTGGCTTGAGTTCCAATTTAGGTTATAAGATCACCCGTTCTTATTCGGCTTACATTATCACTTTACTAGGAAGTAAAATTTTTTACCAAAACCTTTTTTAAAAAAATTGTATTGGATGAAAAATTTTAACTAAAATCAAACATATAAATAATTAATAAAAAAACTTGATAATTTTGTTTCTATTATTTCAAAAAAAAACATTATTGGTTTTAAGAGATTTTAAATTTATATCATACTAAAACTATTAAAATTAAAATATTTTATTTTTATTTATTTTTAAATGTTTAATTATAATCTTATATAAGTTTTAGATTTTTTTCTTTACCCTAAACAAAATAATCATGTATATTGGGACTTGGCTAGTAATAACTTGTGGTGATCACTGGTACAAATCTAATTCAACTCCTCTAGTGACTATATGTTTCTATGAGCGGGATTAAGATAGAATTAATTTTTTAGATATTTGTTCAAGATCTAATTCACCAACATAATCTCATTTATTTTAAATTTATTATTAATATTAAAATATTTTATATTAATATGTTTATATATTTAATTATAAAATATATTTTTAAGTGTGAAATTAAAAATTGTTGTAACTGTTCAAGTTGAGTCAAACTTACAAACCTAGTGAGTTGCTTGGCTCATGGATAAGTTTACTTGTAATTAATATACATATATATATATATATATATATATAAATTTCTTTATATATAAATTTAGTGATTTTATTTTTTAAAAATTAAACACTTGTTATCAATTTAGGGCTCAATGTGTTAGTTACACTGTTTAAAAAATATTTATTTAATTTGTTTTAATTTATTTTTGGTTAAAAATATATTTTTATTTTTTAAATTTATTTTTGGTATATATGAACTAGAAACACAATAATTAAATATAATTATTTCATTTCTCGTAGATTCACTTCTCTAGTTTATAATTTAACAAAACCTAAAAGCATTCAATTATTGACTAACATTTGGTTCTTTCTTTGTAGGACATGTGGCTCAATTACAATGCATCATGTTGCAAATTCACTCTCTTCTTTAAAAACATATATATATATATATATATTTTATTGGCAATAATTGACTAATGAGGTCCAATTAATCGAAAACAATAATGAATAGAGGGAGAATGGGAGAGAGTTAATTTTATTAAGTTATAATAATTTAATTGACATTTTAATCAAAAGAAATAATGATTTTATATATATATATATATATATGAATTTAAATATACACAAAGAGTTAATTGATACTATCTTCTATAAGCCCATCTTTTTCACCTTAGGAGTAAAACAAATAATTTAATTTCGAGTCTCGTTGAGATGTACATTAATTAAGTTATGTTTGGATGAAGTATTTATAATTATAAATATGTTATGTAAATATGTGTATAATAAAATAAATATATTAAATATATAATATTAATTTGGTATATAATAATTTAAAAAAAATTCAAGGACATAATATGAAAAAAGGTTTGGTTGAAAAAAAAATCACAATTAGATATTTTTCAATTTGATTTTAATTATTCTAATACTTAAATATATGTTAAACTTTAATCTACATGTGTTGCAACATCTGGATTCGTGAACCTGTTCGTACGGCATAGAAATTTGTAAATAAATAAAATAAAGAGTTATCATCAATATTTTTCGTTAGGCATAATTGGCTATTTAAAAAGTTTACCCTTTTAAAAAAACCAAAATTAAATTTAAGGTTTATTAAAAAGACATTTTGGTTTTTGAAATTAAAGCTAGATTCAAGAGAGTATGTTTATATGTGGAGAAGAATTAACACTCTTATAACGCCCGTTAAAAAATAGTACTAATTAATTATGCGTTATCTTTGGTATTGGAATAAAAATAGTTTTAATTTGAAATTTAATAATAATTATTTCACTTTTTGAAAAAAAGTAAATTTTATTAAAAAATTTTATTTAAGAATATTATGAAAATCTTTAGGTTAAAAAATTACTTTAACATTCTTCACAAAATTTAAAGATAACTTTTTTGCCTAAAATTTACTACTACATTCCTTAAAAATAAAAATAATATTATTTACAAATAATTGTTTGTGGCTTTCTCTAACATCTAAGTATAGTAAAAAGAATTATTTTTCTTAAAATGTTATTTTAGTTTTATTTTTTAAAAAATCCATACTTTTAAAATAACATTTTCTATGAAAAGTATTTTTTAAAAAAATAATAATGCTATAATTAACAAAAAATCAATAGTGATATTCAAAAGATATAAACATGTAAAATGAATACAAACAACAATTTAAATATGAATAAATACAAATTGATGTTGTGTATGTTGATGAGATGCGATTTTGGGATCAAGTCCTTAAATATAAAGAGACTATTCAGACTTTTTAATCTTTAAGCAGAGTTTAAGTGTGATTATTTATATCTAAACCATATCTTTATTATTATTATTTTTTGCTTTAATCTTATTAATATTTTGGGTTAAGGAATTGTACAAAAAATCTAATGAAACAAAATTTCCTAATTACCTTATCCTCTAGGCGGTATTCTAGAATAGATTACTTTATATGAGGTTTTCATATGAATTCTTTGAATTTTGGGATGGCTTTAGTATAAATCAAGGGTTTGAATAGTTTTAAGGTCTAAATAATTTGGGATTATGGGTTAGATTTAGGACTTAGGTCAAATTTATGGTTAAAGGCTAGGTTTAGGGTCTAGGGTTTG